GTGACCAAATCGTAAGGCAAATTATTCAGTAACTGCATGAAATGAATGTAAATTTTTATTTATTTATTTATTTATGTATTTTTTGTAAAAGCTCCCCTCAAATTAATGTTTAATGTTTTATGATCATACACATATTTCTATATGCTTACAATTTACTGCTGAAAGCCAAAAATCTTAGACGCTCTTTGTATTATTTTATAAAAAATCATTTTTACAGAGCAGATCACTGAAGAGACGCCATCTGAGATCCAGTTTACAGCTCAGATTTGTGGAAAAATGAGTCGACTTTCAGTATAACTTTTATTATAAGCTTTTAAAATGACATCACCCATCTATTTGACTGGAAAGAAGACTGGAAGAAGTTACAGCTCTCATATGACACCCACCTCTTGAATGAAGCTTATGAAATATGAAAGTTGAAGAATATGACGAAGTGAGTTTTGGAACCACCAGTGGTCTCAAGGAGTTGAAGAGGTTAAAAAACAGTATTTATACTCAGAGGCCCAAATGTCAATGTATTACTTAATTAGTGTGTCATATTTTCCATACATTATTGCAAATATAATAAAATAACATTAGAAATTGTAAAAGTATGTTTAAAATTGTGTTGGCAGTTTGTCCCTCGGTCTCTTCAGAGCTTCTCTCATTTACCATCTTCCATGGAAATAACTGTCACAGATCGTTTCTTCCTTTCTGGTAAGACCAAGTTCCCCGTTGGTTGGATAGCCTAGTGGATAACATACGTCTCCTGTATGCATCTTTAACCTGCATACAGGAGAACAGGGTTTGATTGGCCTTTCAGGTAGAAAGGCCACTGTTGTGACTAAGTGTCCTCTGGCAATGCTACGCTACATCCACCTACCATTATAAGTCACTCTACTTCTCAAGTCTGTCTTGCTTCAGTAGAAATAGTCGAAGTGAAATTGTTCATCTCAATTCAGAGGAACAGATTATAAACTTTATCAAATAGAAAGTTTCATTTGGAAGTGGACAAAAGTAATAAATCCCTTTGCATCTAGGCTCGTCACAGTTATTACATAATCGCCTAATCCCAGTTATTTGAGATGATTACAATTATTTAAACTGACTGCAGTCATTTTTCACAGTTGGTACATTTTGCAATCATATTATGTTGTGACAAACAGAGTGAATTGAGTAGGCTGGGTTGAAGTGAATGTATGTAGAATTGGCAGTAAATGCATCCATTGAGACATCATTGGTTCTTATAAAAAACAAAAAAGAAAAAGACTGAATTTGGTACTCTAATGTGTTTAGAGGGCAGCGTAAGGAATGTTTATTGTTTACGACTTTTTGGCTTATATTTTCACTTTTAAGAAAATAATGTAGTTTTGATTCACTCTGCATATAATTCTACATAACTGTAGACGTTTATTTGAGTGAACAGGTGGGGGGCAGCGTGGCTAATCAGCTTAATTGGCCACTTTAGAGTTGGCATTAATAGTTGTTGACAGTCAACATAAACTCACAATAATATCATTAATTGGAATGATTTCATGACAGTTAATTATCAGCTATATGTCATGATCGGGACAGCCATACATACATCGCAGTATCATAATTTCAGAAAATATCAATAATTAACAACACAAATGTTAAAAAATTGCAAGAGAATTGTGCACCTTAGGGGTGGGCGATATGGCAAAAATATTAGCGTGATACTTCAAAACATGTCCACTATACACAATTTGCATCATGATATTTAGTTCTGAGATTTAATAACTTGGAACAGAGAAAATAGAGCCTGTAGTGTCACATATAAAATCACTATAATAATAATGATGATAATAATAATTATAATAATAATAAACAACCGGTTATTATAAAACTATAATGATTTTTATTCAGTGTTTTACAAACTGCACTAAATCCAGTTAAACAGGCCTAATTATGCTCACTCTATAATAAACATGAGTCAGTCAGTGTTTTTAAGTACTGACAATGTCCTCGATACGCTCAGAGAAGCATATTGTGACATAATTTGTTACAGTAATGATAAAACGTCCTCATATTGCCCCCCCCCCCGCAATGTATCGTGACTCAAGCATTGTGAAGTCATTTATTGATGCCCACCCCCAGGGCCCATAGGTGGTGGGGGTCCTCCAAGGGCCTAGAGTGAAATTTTTCCTGTGGTGAGAGTTAAGTGACCTTTATTAATCCCACAACGGAAATTTCACCTCTGCGTTTTAACCCATCTGTGCAGTGAAACACCACATACACACTAGTGAACACACACACTAGGGGGCAGTGAGCACACTTGCCCAGAGCAGTGGGCAGCCCTATCCACGGCGCCCGGGGAGCAGTTGGGTGTTAGGTGCCTTGCTCAAGGGCACTTCAGTCACGTGCTGTCGGCTCAGGGGATCGAACCGGCGACCTTCCGGTCACAAGGCACAAGAATTACATTTATTTATTTATTTATTATTTATTAAACATTATGATGTACGTAATGAGCATCAAAACTAAACAAATATTGCCATAATAAATATATTAAGCGTGATTTTTCATATGTAGTTGAATTATTCTCAAGAAACGAGCAGAGGGCAGCCCCTCCACTGGAGGCCCACCCAGGCCGACTGTGCAGGGTTCAGATATTTGTGGAACGCCGGCCTCAGCGCTCTTGTTGTCCCGCTGCGTCCTTAGCTGCTAAGCATCTGCTTCCTGTTGTAGAGCGCGCATGTTTTTTATTTCTGAGAAGCCAATGACCTTCTTTTCTTCCTTTCCTCGTACGGCCTCTAATGTGGCATCGCAATTATCAGAGCTGCTATTGTCACTTACAGTGTAGCTCTCAAATTTTCAGTTTCAGAGGCTGTTTTCGGTCTCATTGGCCTGTTTCAGCATAAGTTCAGCACGTTTTTTTTTCTTTTTTTTTCTCTTTTCTGTGGTGTGTGTGTGAGTGTGTGTGTGTGTGTGTGTTTTGTCAGGAAGAAAACAAAGGAAGTGTGTGCAAGATACAGATCTTAACTTGTTTTGAACCTTAAGTAGTCTATTTGGTATTTTCTCAGAAACCCTCAAAACCATAAAATTACAGTTAGGCCTGATCCTGCTTCCAGTTTTCAGAAATATTTTTCAGTGTTGGCCTTCCAGATATTCTCTGCCCCTGAAACAGACCCAGTGCATTTCTCTAGCTCGAGCTTGTTCGGGGGGCTGTGGATGAGGTGAGCTGCCAAACTGAGGCTGCATTGTGATTTGGAGGTTTGGTGCCAAGACACACATACAGTCGTATGCAAACGTTTGGGCATCCTTGGCATTTTTCTGCAAAATTTAGTGCACAATTTCTGTTTGATTTTTATCACATTGGGGGGAAAAAAGTAAAACTGAAATGCAGAACATGCCAAAACTTCTGCGCAGGCCACATTTTTCCAAAATATTAAAGTCAGCAAATAAACAGGAACTATGCATTAAAACGTGTCTCTGTAGAGGATGTGTTCACTTACTTACACTGAGAAAATCATGTCATTTGACCAGGGAGTTCAAACATACGACTGTATATTGACATATTGCACGTATGTGGTATATAGGAGGAAATTTATTTGTAAATATTTTTCTTTGTTTGGAATTTTGCTGCTAAGACGTTGCATACTGTGCTAGGCACCTAAGTAAATTGTTTAAAACCATTTGTCTCAGCTGCAAGTGCAGTTTTTGCTTGTAAAAACTCTATATAGCGTAATAATTAATATGCATAAATACATATATTTTTTAATTTCGGTGCTAAGATATCTCATAAATGGTCATATCACACATACATTTTGTAAATAAATATGTTTGCATTTTTTCTTTGTAATTTTCTTGCTAAGACACCCGAGTATGCTAAATTATGCAAATATCATATTGCATGTAAATTTTGTATATTGAGGATCTTTTTCTTGCAGAATTTCTTTCTTTGTTTGGAATTTTGCTGCCAAGACCTAACATGCATTAACAATAATGCACATATGTTCTTGTTTTAGGAGTGTAATGATTCACAAAATTCATTATTTAATTTGTTCAGTACAGTGGTGTCTTGAGTTGATATTTTTTGAGTATGTTTTTTTGATGCAGCAAAAAAAATATATATATAATAAAATAAAAAAAATATATATATATATATATATGTATATATATATGTGTGTGTATGTGTATATATATATATATATATATATATATATATATATATATATATATATATATATATATGCCTTACATAAACGTTAGTATTTCCAGTTTCAGTTGATCACAACATTCAACAATATTTTAAAGCTCCTTCTAAACCTCCCAAACCCAGTGAATTCAACTTGTCCCATTCAAGAATAATCAACCCCACCAACAGCTACCAATACTTAATAATAATCCAGCCGCTAGACTCTGAGTTTATTCTCTGAGTTATTCAAACACACACAACAACTCCACACAATCGCTAGCCTGTCCACAAATGCCCCCCTTGTTCTCACACACACACACACACACACACATATCAAAGAATGGCATTGTAAATAATTATCTTCAATAATTTTTGTATTTTGCACTGCCTTAGGTAAGAATGTTAAATGTCGAATATGAATGCACGTTTTTTATTCTATTTTCCGTTGCTGTTGTTGCTGCTGTTTTTTTTTTTTATATGTCCTCCTGCTTGGAAGAAGACCTCATATATTCATGAAATATGGATTATTAATAACAAAGGACTATAGGTCCTCCAGAAAGGAGGGGTGGTGGCAGGTTTAAATAAACAAAACAAAACAAAAAAATAATATTTTAAACAAAAGTTTTGCTCTGTAGTGTCTCAATCTAAAGCTCTAGCCATGAGCTAATATTTTAGCCACAAACTAACATGCAAGTCACAATACAATTCAGTGATGCAATGTCATATGTTCTTACTTCTCTACCATGTATCCAGAATATCTGTGTGTTGATTGGACCGTGTCTAGTTGAAAGTTTCTATTAACAAAGTCCCTCTTATAATAATAACAATAATAATAATAATAATAATAATATTTCTGCTTTTCCAGTCCAATGCCGGAGTGCGCCGCTTCACCAAGCCGCCAGAGAGTCTGGAGCGTTCTCTGGAGATGAGCCGGCAGCGGGGCAGGAAGAAAGCGCAGAAGCGGCCGAACTACAAGAACGTTGGCGAGGAGGAAGAGGAGGAGAGAGGTGCCGAGGATGGCCCAGAGGAAGAGAAGGCTAAAGGTACAGAGGCTAGCTCAAAGGCCAGCAGGACAAGTGGGGACACGGAAGGTGAGTGGCAACGGATGAATGTCCCACCATCATTGACTAATGCTCCATTCTTCAGAGCGCCCCCTGCAGCCGTGGGGCCGCTCTGTGAACTGGCTGTATGGGCCTGGAAAACAAATAAAAAGTTTCGAATAATGTTCCTTAAAGGCACAAAAATGCTGATGTGGCTAACAGTGGAGGCTTGCAGAAGCTGCATGCTGGCTTCTGTCTTTTTTATGGTCATGCTGAGTGTTTAAAACTGAAGTATACGTCTATATGAATAATCATAAATGATTCATAAGTCAAAAGAAACAGGCGTTCTGTAGCTGGACACTCAGTAATACTTCTGTAGAAGTGTAGGGGGAGACCTAGAACATCTGAGAAATCTGTGAGGTGTTAACCATTCCAGTATGAGAAGTGACATGTTTTTATTACTTCCCCATCCAGATTCAACAAATTATATGACCGTTACTGTACAGCAAGGGTGTCTAATTAAGGTCCTGTAGGGCCAGAGTTGACACAGTTTGGTGATTTTACTGCTTTAACACACTGACTAACAGGGTAGACAGATATAGATCATTTACACAAAGTAATTAATGTTTGGTCAATATTAAGAATTTCTGGCCAGAGTAATGCAAATGTTTATTACAGTGGCTCAGGCAGAACATTTTTAAGTAGACACTCTAATGCTCCACAATTTTATAACATCATTCTGTAGCCTATTGCTTTGAGCAGTACAGTCATCAACCTGCCTATTCCAGCACTTTCACCCCTACACTGTTAGAAATAAAGGTTCTGTGCAGGTACATTTTTGTTCATTAAGGTACCGACAATGTAAATGTTCCCTTAAAGGTACAACAGTGGTTTTAAGGTCTGACTGTGATCCTTAAATAGTTTTTTCCAGGTGAAAAGTTCATATTTGTACCTTTTCATAACCAAATGTTTTAAACAGAACAGTAAAATAAAAGCCTGGAGACGAGACGGGGTGTGTGGAGTCAGTACAGCTTAGAACATATCATTTCAGTGGATTATGGTTCAGTTATGTTCCCTGACTAAAGGTACTGAGATGGACCCCTGAGGGTTCCACCCCAGTGACAAGAGTGGCACTGCCCCAGGGAGAGTTTCATGCCTTATTTTTCTGAGAGTGTATGGTGATAGAAAACAATAGTAACCAACTGGAACACTGGACTCTTATGAACACAGCCAGCACCTGCAGCACCTTCACTTTGCCCAGTGAATGCGACATAACCAAGTGCAAATCAAACAGCTGAGATGTAAAGATGAGAAAAACAACACAAACAAAAAACAAAGTGAAACAAAACAAAAAATTAGGCAGTACTTATAAGATCAGTACTGCTAAAACACTGAAGAACAGCATGGATCATAAAAAAGACAGATTTAGGCCACTTATAGAGAGCCTGTAAACAACAGCAACAAGTCAGTGCATAAACACTGCAGTAACAAGTGGCTGATTGGATCCTCCTAAATCATTCCTTTATTTTTATTAATTTCCCTTTTTAATTTCCCTCCTGCTGCTTTATTTTGGAAAATATTCGGTCAAAAAGCAAACTTGTTCCGACTTGCTCACCTCAGAAAACCTAGATATCGTGTACTGTGAAAATGCCCTCGAGTATCATGACGTTTTTGTTGTATCGTCCACCCTTTGATCCAGCCATAAGCAGAGCCAGTTCCCAGAGCCCCACCCACTCTTTTGCTGCCGTTTCATATGTTGTCCGTGTGCTGATGATGGTCATTCTGGTCCACATTCATTCTGTGCTGTCCACCTTTCCGGGCTGAGGAGCTGGATCTGACCCAAGCCTGGGGTTCTCTCTCTCTCTCAGACCCACACTTCCTCCTCCTGTGCTCTCCATGATGTGTCATTGTGCTGTGCCTTCATCCGTGTTTGTAACCCACAGCTGGTTTGTTTTTTCCTGGAAAAATCAGGGATGGGCATAAGTTACTGAGTGGAATGCTACTGGAAATTCACATTTACTGGTTGTTTTTATTTTCAGCCCCTAAATTGCCATAAAATAAAAAAAAAGCTTTGTTTCTGTTTATTTAACTGCTGCACTGATATAAATTAAATCTTTTCCTGTTATTCCTTTTTTTTTTTTTTTAACCAAAATGCCCATCGTGAAAACAAACATGAATTTTTCACTCCCAGGCTTGAGCATGATTTGGACGGGTAATTTCCTGTTTTAGAGCTGCTATTGTGTGATACTATCTGATTGTTTTTTTTCTGACTGCATCGGCCATGACAGTGTTTTTTTGCCCTCCACCCTTTAGAAAATTACAGGCCAAATTAACTGATGTTTTTCACCAAATTAGTGGTGATTTTAGTCCCATCTGACGTATCTTAAATTCCTAAATCTCCATGATTTTCCAGGCAAATGTCACCTCACTTCAGAAAATAGTTTCTACCCACTGCTACTTGCCACATTTTGGCTCCTAGCACACATAATCAATATTAAATACTCACGTAACGATAGATGCTTTGCAGCATCACTTATACTATGTGTGTAGCAAACATCCAGGTTTGAAGAAAATATAACCCACTTGAAGCTGCTTGTCCTGCGCCAGTTTTTGTTGCTGTCCAGATGCGAGAGTATTATTTACCTTTATTTACATTCATGCATTTGGCAGATGCTCTCATCCAAAGTGCCTTAAGAACTTTAATCATGTTACAGAGGTAGGAAAACGTAGCGTTAGGAGTCTTGCCCAAGGACTCGTATTGGTATAACATGGTGTGCTTGTCTGGAGGGGGAGTCTACCACATCATTATGGTCGTCCCCCTGATATACTAATCAATCTGTACAGGGCTTTGGAGGGTTCTACCATTCCTGCTCGCTGTTGGCCAAACATATCGCTTCCCTACATTCATGTGCAAAAGTTTGGGCACCCCTGGTCATGTGACGTGTTGATTTTCTAAGTGAAGAGAAGTAAAACACAGCCACTACAGAGAAGGCAAGGCAAGTTTATTTACATAGCACCTTCCATACACTGCTGTCATTAGACATAGACATTAAAAAAACTTTATTAAAACAATAGATTTAAAAGGGAAAATCATAAAATTGAAGATCAGATTAGAAATTAAATTAGGATCTAGGTCTAGAACGGCTAGCGGTGTTGAAACTGAGCTGAAAGCCAGCTCACATAGGAATGTTTTGAGCCTGAATTTAAAAGTGAGAACACACTTTTCATTTTAATGCACAATCTTGGTGTTTATTTGCTGAAAAAACATATACAGTGTAGCCTGTGCTAAAGTTTCATGCTTTTCATACTGTATGTTTTTATTTATTAACGTTTGACTCCTGCTGTAAAGTTGCATTAACTTATTTTCACTCAGAAAATCAGCAGTACGTGCAGTTCTTCTTCTACATTCCAATTTTTGCACACGACTGTAAACGTCTCTCTGCCACAGGAGTAAAGATGGCTTTAGGCCACAGTTGATAAACACTAGACGCCACTGACATGACATAGCCTGTCTGCGGTTTGTGGAAAAGGAGTTCAGCAGAAGTTGTCAATGCCAAAATTTCCTTAATGACAACATCAATTAGGCAGGCTTCAGTTTTCAAGGAAATGCTGCTTGTTGACCTCTCCTTGCATACCAGCACTTTCACTTTCAGCCTCTGGCTTCTAACCTGAAGCTGAAGTAGTTCTGTGAAAAACGTTCCCTTTTATTTGAATCCCAGCCCTGTCTCCCCACACGTAAACAGCATCTACACAAAACGCAAAAAGCATTTGAATAGCAGGGCTGGTTTTGGCAATGCAGGGATTAAAAGAGGTCAGAAGCCTGCTGTGATCTGATGTGCAGTGATTTGCATAGCTCTGTGTGGGCTTCTGTGTCTGCACTTGCTTTTGCAGAGATTGAGATGGTGGTGATGGAGAAGTGTAAGATATCAGACGTGTCCACCTTAACTGAGCAGAACATCACCGACGAGGAGAAAACGGCTGCAGCTGCTGCTCGCACGGAGGGCCTGAGGAGCAGGTACCCACCTCAAAAACAACAGACGCACATATATTAGCTCACCTGTGCACATGGACATTCCACAAACACATGTATGTACACCACTATGCACACGTATATGCATGTATACCCGCACAGCTGTGTGAGTAGATCTTTCTGCTAGTGTTATCATGTTTACTGGATTAAAAAGCATCAATAAATCGACAAAGACTTGGCAGTTTGCACAAAGATATTACATTATTAGATATTAATATCATGGAAAATTGAATTTTCCCCATTTTTTACAAAATCAAGTTTGATATAGTGAACAAACAGTGCTGAAAATTTCAAAACACACCCTTCACTCCTCATCACATATAGTCCATATATGGAAACCGGGCTGCAGAAACAGTGTGTTTTGAATTCATTGTTTCTGTTTTGTCACAGATGTGCAAATATCCACCTTTTCAGCCTACAGCAGTTTAGCTCCGCCCTCTCATGCTGAAGTTATAAGGAGTGTTTCAGCCCGGACTGCTTTTTAAATGAGGCCAAGCCAATCAGAACAGAGCTCATTTACATGTATCAGTCTTACAGGCACGTGTACGTCTGATCCTGAGAGTTTAAACGGTGTTATTCTGAAGGTAAACGTTCTATCAGCTCATAATTGAGGCCTAAATATCCGTCTAGCTTCTGTCATTGTTAAATGGAGTGTCTTTTTTAGGTCCCGAATGAAAACAGCCCTCCCTCAAACGCACAGACATTGTGCATTCCGCTCGTGTGCCAGTTTTGTATATAGGGCACAGGCAAAAAAGTGTACAATTTGCACCTGGCACAAAAGGCTCGGTATGTCAGGCCTATAGTGTGTTTATTAGTGCTGTCAAAGTTGACGTTAACATGTTTTTAATGAGTTTTTCTAGCCGTTTCAAACCCTCAGTAGTAGTGCAAGCTGAAGCCCAGCTGCAGTGCACTGTATGTTGACTGTATATAAGATATGTATGATATAAAAACTTGAAACATGCAGACACTGTTGCTCTCTCTGAATGTTTGGAAACTGCGGTTAGTCTGTGTGGAAGTTTATTTTGGGTTCTGCGCTCACATTGAAAATAATGTTACTGGATGATTGAAAATAATAAACACATTCTGTTGAAGCTCATCTTGTCCGCTCATATAGCTGCAACAAAATGAACTTCAAATTTGAGCTTATTTGCAATTAATAGCGTTTGACTACAAATTAGAGCATATTTACATCAAATAATGCAAATAATCATGTTTCATCATCTAAATTGTTTGAAAGAGATACATTTTTATATGGATTTTTAAAATATGTCTTTTTATGTACTTCCCAGTGTCCACGAAAGTATTTTGGAATCTGTTTTTGGTTACTTATTGTTCTTTCTGACTCTGTTCGCTCAATTAATCGTCAAGGTGTTCGGTATTATCGATTACTTGCTAAAATAAGCAGGGACGGGTAATTTCCTGTTTTAGAGTTGATATTTTGTGATGCTATCAGATTTTTTTTTTCTGTCTGCATTGGCCATGTCAGTGTTTTTTCGCCCTCCACCCTTTAATTACAGGCCAAATGAACTGATATTTTTCACCAAATTTAGTGGTGGAGTGGTGATTTTGGTCCCATCTTGTGTATTTTAAATTCCTAAATCTCCATGATCCTCCACGTCCTGCGCCAGTTTTTATTGCTGTCCAGATGCGAGATTAGATAGATAGATACTTTATTGATTCCGAAGAAAATTTAGCAGCCAGTATGAGTCACACAACACAGGACAGTAATAATAATAAGGGTGAAACAATATAAAAAGAAGAGTAAATACAAAAACGCTATCTACAGACATAAGAATAGAAATATACAAAAATCTACATCAAGATCCATAACCTGAGATAAAAAGGCAGTGCAATAATGACTGCACAAGGAGGCACAGGTAACAGCAGATAATGATAATACTGAAAAAATATGTGCATAAATTGGTACTGAAATAAAGCGTATAGATATGGAGTGTCCAGATGCACAATAGGGGTACAGAAAGTGCAGTATGTACAGTATTAAATCTTTATTTACATTCATTACCTTTATTCAGGGCCCCTTAATCATGTGACAGAGGTAGACGAGGTGTTCGGTATTATTGATTAGTCGCTAAAATAATCAGTGACAGCCAGACATTCTGTGCTTTAACTCCGCAGCGTCCTCCTCCTCCTCACAAAGTCATTTTATGATTCATTTTTTGTCCACTGAGAAAACGTCCAGGATTAACAAATACACGTTCAGTTTGAGAGACTTTCAGAACCTCCCTGCAGACCTGCTTTTATGAGGGAAGAACTGGCCTTGAAATGTGACCCTTAAATAGCCTGCGCTTCTCAGTTCCTATGAATCCTGGCTTGGGACTTTGACAGAGATTCTACAAGGGATTCCAGGGAATGAGCAGTGTGAGCCACAGCTGGATTGTCTATGCTCTGAAATTAATGCTGGCTGGTTAGCTTGTGATTTAGCATTCAAAGGAAAAACAGTTCACTTATTGTTTTGAGTGTTACGCTCTCTGAAGAGCTGCTGTTTATGTTTAAGTGTTAAATATTTAATGGGCTTGAGATGCTGCCAGCAGGTTTAAACTAAGGTGGAACCTTCTGCATTTTAGTCTGGCTTTACACAGTGAAACCTTCATGCAACTGGTTGCATGTTGTGTCAGTTACTTCACTACACTCTTACAAAACCTGGCGCTTTAAGGGTTCTTTAGTACAGAAAATGGTTCTATGTAGAACCATGGGCACTCAAAGAACCCTTTGCATGCTTAAAGGGTTCTTTGCCTCGTGAAAGAGTTCTTCAGATTAATGGAGAATGTTGTATGTGGTTCTAAATAGCACCAAAGAGGGTTCTTTTTTTGTAACGAGCTTGACATTGTAATGATAGAAGCCCTTTTCAAAAAGGTTCTGTATAGAACCATCTACAGCACATTTTCCGGTGATCTGATAAACCCTTTCACAATGCAAAGAACCCTTTGATCATGCAAAGGGTTCTTTGAGTGTTGCTGGTTCTACATATAACCATTTTCTTTACAAAAGAACCCTTAAAGAACCAAGATTGTAGGATGTCATTTTCAACTGTCCGGTAAACCGTCTCCTGTTTTATTTTTCTGGTAAACTCAATTGTTTGAAATTGTCCTTCAGCATGTTCACGTGATGCATTTTCAACATTTCCATGAAGATGAGATGCTGGATGAGATGTTATAGCTGAGTTTTAAATGAGTTGCGAAGGTTTTACATTATGCAACTCAAATGAAATTTCGTTTCATGTACGTTTCAAGCATCTGAAGTTGCATGTTCACCAGCCTAAGGCTGGCTTTACACTGTAAAACTTTAATGCAGCTTTAGTTGCCTGAAACCCTCATGAAACTAAACTGCACGTGAGGTGCATAATGTAGAGCATGCTGCAAGTCACTTGAAACTCAGCCGCAATGGTTGCAAGCAACTTCGAGAAGCAAGTTTAATGAAATAGTTAATCAAAGTGGCGAAAGCACATCGAGTGATCACATCCAACGGCGTATTTACAAATGATTAATTTCACCAAATCAGTGGATAAAAAAATAAAACAGTTTATTGGATGGTTGAAAAGGACCCCGCCCCTGCGACTGATTTAAGATCTTAGTTTTTCGTTTAGTTTTTCGTTCCTGCTAATGCTGACAGCTGTTAAAATGGCTGATTGTGCCACTGTTTGTATATTTCTTTAGTCTACTGTTATCTTGATACGCATAGCTAGATTTTCTCCTCTCGTGCTGCCACCTAATTTTTACACAGAGCTCAAATTCATGAGGAAAGGTATTTAAGAAGGGGAGTCAGAGATGCTCATCAGTGAATTTATTGTGCTTTTGAGACAGGATGAGCAAGACATCAAGTATGCTATAACTCTAACACCCCTTAATTAAAACACGTTTTAGTACGCACTTCTATAACCTAAGAATAGCTCAGCCAGTTTGCACAAGTCCCTGTAGTTACTGAATAATAAGCCTTAGTATGTAATAAGCCTGAGATTTTAAGGGTTAAACGTTGATTTACAAAGGCTTAACATAAACACAACAATCACAACAATACAAAACTCAGATATATAGTAAAGAACCCAAGATAGATAGATAAAAGATAAATGTGTAAATGTTAAAAAAAGGAACGGCAGTGACAGCTGGAAGAATGGACAACAATGATAAAAATGCTGCACATATGTAAATTACAGCTCACAGATGCCTTTATAATAAGAATCATGCACTATGTGTGAGGTTGCACGGAACTTATGTTGCATGCAACTCACAACATGCAGTTACTTGCATGAAAGTTCCATCATGTGAAGCCTGAGGGCTGCAGAGGGTTTTTTCTCAGTGGAGATCAGTTTCACTTTTATGAAGCCAAATATTGTTTCCCAGGATGTTCACAGACATGCTTTTATTGCTGGTGTTAGTGGATTTTGGCTTTTGCTTTGCCTTGGATTTTATCCTAAAATCTTATTTTTTAGGATGTCGTCCAGGTTGCTGGATCCGAGCAGGTCACGGCCGAGCTCCAGCTTGTCTAACTGATCTGTGGAAGTGTTGCACTCTGTCCAGACCACTTCACTCTGCTGAGGCAGGCTCACCGCAAACTCCTAGCATGTCTTACAGTTCAGTTGGTGCAATAGCATTTTACAGAGCCCCTAAACTCTGGAGCAGCATTCCAGAGAATGGTAGAAATGCAAGCCTGATAAACGTTTTAAAACTTAGTAAAAACAAAGTAGGTCAGCATATGTCTGGCTCATTTTCTGCTGTCTTTAATTGTGCTGTTGCGTCTGAAGAGTAGACTTTATTTATAGGCTCTGTGCGAGGCTGACTCGCTCTACGTTGGAAATGGCCATGTTTATGTAGTCTAAGGCACATAGTTGCCCCTTGACATGGCCAAATTAGGCACAAAAGCAACCTATACACACACACCGATCAGGCATAACATTATGACCACCTCCTTGTTTCTACGCTCATTGTCCATTTAATCAGCTCCACTTACTATATAGGTGCACTTTGTAGTTCTACAGTTACAGACTGTAGTCCATCTGTTTCTCTGATACTTTGTTAGCCCCCTTTTACCCTGTTCTTCAGTGGTCAGGACCCCCATGGACCCTCACAGAGCAGGTACTATTTGGGTGGTGGGTCATTCTCAGCACTGCAGTAACACTGACGTGGTGGTGGTGTGTTAGTGTGTGTTGCGCTGGTCTGAGTGGATCAGACACAGCAGTGCTGAGAATGATTTCAGAATTGCTTTCTTTACAGCTGTCAGAGAAGCCATTACTGTGTTCTTTTGACTGGGTTTCAAGTATTGAAGTATCTCTGAACAGAAACAAAGCTGGATGTAGAGCCAGGTCTTCTTGAAAAAGAGCAGCGAGCAGGAAAGCTGTCGTTTCCTAGAGATGCGTCACTGGAGGGCACCGCCAGAAAACATGGATAAATGTTCTGAGAGCATCTGAAGAGCATTAAGTGCAAAGTTTATCAGTGGAGAGTTTCATTTGTAGTGGCTGGTAAGGGGTTATGGTTATATAAAATCTGTGGGCAAAAGTATAGTGTATCAGCTGATGAGCAAATATTACACATACAGCATATAATACAGCAGATTCCTTCAGTCTAAAGTGCTGTGAGATTTTGTAACTAAAATGAAAAGTGCTATGAATAAACATATAGTGTTTAGTGTCATTTTGCACAGCTGTGCACAAGTGGAAACTCAATGAGAGAGTGTCCACTTGTGCGATAGCTTTATCAGTCTTGAAATTTTGGTCCTAATTTGAATATAGCCAGAAAACATGCTGCCAAATGTAAATAACGATAAAATCCACTGATTTTTTTATTTTTATTTTTATGTAATTCAGTGGTTGAGATGTAAACAAAGTTGTTCAGAGTGGTTTAATGTGAAAGGGTTTGTTGTAGAGATTTCTGACACCGATATCGGTCAGATAACGCTTTCCATGTTAAGCGACAAAACGCACCAGACTCTCAGATAACAGACAGAAGCTTGGCCAGCGCGACCGCCTCACTGCCAGCAACATGAGTGACCCCAGCATGCCAGAGTAAAATTGATTGAGGCCTTTGAGAAACTTGAATGTGAATTTGAACGTGACCCAAGTCCAACACATACTTGAGAAATGATGTCTCAGCTTCACCAGACTGGACGCAAATACTCATTCACACACTCAGACAGATATTTAAGCTGTGCTGTGCTGCTGTCTCATGCAGGCCCTTCTTGGACATGGTGTACAACGCTCTGGACTGCGAGAAGGAGGATTACCACGCCCTCTTCGTCCTCTGCCTCCTGTTCGCCATGACTCACAGCAAAGGTACACCATCCTTCAGGATGAGAGTTAGTCTAATTTTTAGTCTATTACTTTCATTCTTTCTGTAACAAAAACAGCCTCTTTGAATCTAAGGGGTTAAGAGAGGTTGGAAAATGTAAAGGAGATTAGTGATGTAAAAATGTTTTTTGATACATAAACCCACGCAGCCTCGGTTAGTCAGTGAGCTAACATAGCAGTCAGCTGGGTAAATCGCCTCCGACAAACAGTAAAAACAGAAAAGTAGTCATAATAATATAGTCATAACAGAAGTTACCATGATAACGCAGTTTCCCGACTGGCTGTGTATTTCTTTCTTGTCTTTTTTGATAAGCAGTGTGGAACGAATATTGAAAGATCTTAGAAACTAAATAAATTAGCGTTTCTTACGTTTTTGATATTCGGTTCTGCTGTACGAGTGCTGCGCATTCAGAGATCATACATTTTTCATCCATCAAGGTACAAACAGTGTAAATGTTCGCTTAAAGCTACAACAGTGGTTTTAAGGTCTGATTGTGAACCTTAAATAAGTTTTTCCAGGTGAAAAGTTCGTATTTGTACCTTTTCATAACCGAATGTTTTAAACAGAACAGTAAAATAAAAGCCTGGAGACGAGACGGGGTGTGTGGAGTCAGTACAGCTTAGAACATATCATTTCAGTGGATTATGGTTCAGTTATGTTCCCTGACTAAAGGTACTGAGATGGACCCTTGAGGGTTCCACCCCAGTGACAGTTTAGTACCTTTTTTTCTGAGAGTTTAGGAAGTTTTTGTGCGAAATCGTAAATTTAAAGTGCTTAATCATTTTTTAAATGGAAAATCAGGCTCATTTACTAATCACAGAACAGCATACTATATTTAAACACTGCAGTGGTTCTGAGCGCGGAACTCCAGTTATAGGACTTTATAACAATGCCTTATGTACATTCATGACATCAGTGAGCACAAACTGCTTTAGCAGCCAGTGAGATCTGATTGATTTCCAAAAACAAGATATTTTAATTTTTGAAATGGAATACATCCTCCTGCTTTCTCAAATTACAGGAAGTTTCTGCATAAATTTATAGAAATGTTAAATTTTTCGTTTCTTGCAGTTTAGCTCCTTCTGTTCATTCAGGAGTCACTCAGAGGTGTCCTCAAGTGTTTAGCAGTCCTAATTTTGGTATAATGGGAGAAACAGGAATTGGCCAGACTCATAAACTGTCTCTGACGCACAACATTTATTCGCCCTGGAAATCTGCAACACAAAATCATTCTTCTTCACAAATTCCATTGAAATCAGTGTGGTTTTCCCTTATTTTTCCTCAGTTTGCCAGCATCACTGATGATAAACCTGGTGTAAATCTGAAACTGGATCTTGCTTGTGATGCAGGTATAAACCCAGCGCTGCTGGAGAAGATCCAGCTGCCAGTACCGGGTCAGGAGAGGAGCAGTTACAGTCAAGTTCTGGTGGAGAGGCTGATCAGGATCATGAACCAGGCTGCACAACCAGGTACCTGCGCTCAGATGCAGCACGTCTTGCACGTTTTGCACCTGCGTCAACTTGCCCTGCTGAGAGTGATAATCTGAACTAAACTCAGTGAATTTTTCCGCACTCAGATCGTTCATTACTGTAGGCTGCATGACTTTTCTGTGTATTTGGCCGCTCTAAGTTATTCATTTGGACCGTAACGAAAATATCTATGTTAAATAATTAATAGTTAAAGTTATATCATAAAACTTCACATATTATTATGCCCAAAAGCTGCTAAAAACGGCAGAGAAGCATCATGAATGTGCACAGCTGTGCAAATTGTGAACTCTCTGCATGCTGAGCTTTTACATTTAGCAAATGCTAAATGTTGAACCTTAAATTGAACAACAGTTGCTAAATGAACAGTGCTAAGGAGAACACAATGGAGCTAATAACGTAGCTCACAGAAGAGGTTAGATACTGTTTTTCTGTCACTCCAACACCAACCGCTCGACTTCACTCACTCAGATGTGCATCTTTATGCCTTAAAATGTGTGTATAAATTGCATAATGAGCAAATACTTGTGCCAAAAGTTTCAGATAAAATTATAAAACCCACGAACAAAATATTGAGAGTCAAAATGTCAGAGATTTGTTGCAAATACACATAATTAGAGTTAAATCAAACTTATTTTTTCAAAAAGATTTCTACTCATTTTTGCTTTTTCCAGTATAAAGTTTTTGCCTTTATGTTTATATTTATTTTCCAAAAAGGTTGGGACGCTGTGCAGAATGTAAATAAAAATAGGATGCAATGATGAGCAAATCATGTAAACCATATTTTTAAAGGAAAATACTACAAAGACAACATATCAGATGTTGAAACTGAGAGATTTTATTGTTGTTTGAATAATATATGCATATTTTGAATTTAATGCCAACAACACATTCCAAAAAAGTTGGGACGGGGGCCTGTTTACCACTGAGTTTCATCACCTCTTCTTTTAACAACGCTCTGTAAGTGTTTGGGCACTGAGGAGACACTGCTGTAGTTTTGAAAGGGAAATGTTTTCCTGTCCTTGTTTGATACAGGATTTCAGCTGCTCATCAGTTCAGAGTTTCCTTTGTCGTATGTTTCATTTCATAATGTGGCAAATGTTATCAGTGGTGACAGGTCTGGACTGCAGGCAGGTCAGTTTAGCACCCAGACTCTTTTAATACAGAGCAATGCTGCTGTAATACATGCAGAATGTGGTTTGGCATCGTCAAATGTTTGGCAGCATATGTTGCCAAAACATGTATATATCATCCAGCATTATTACTGCCTTCACAGATGTGCACGTCACCTGTGCCATGTGTACTAATGGCCCCTATACCATCATGAATACTGGCTTTTGAACTGTTTTACGTTGAGAAACGTTATTCTTGAATTGTAGCACAGTTTGATTGTGTAGTCTTTCACGGAGTGGTGAACCCCTCCTCATCTTTACCTCTGTAAGACTTCGCCTCTCAGAGATGCAGTTTTTATATTCAATCACGTTGCTGACCTGTTGCCAATCAACCACCAGGTGTTAGCATTATACAACTTTACCAGCCTTTTGTTGCCCCTGTCCCAACATTTTTGATTTGTTGTCTTTGTACTGTTTTCAATTAAATATAGGGTTTAAATGATTTGCACATCATTGCATTTTGTTTTTATTTACATTTTGCACAGTGTCCCAACTTTTTTTGGAAAAAATGAGGTTGTATTTGCTGATTTTGCTGATGCTTCTGAAATTTTACTTCTGCTTTTGACTTTTGGCACTTTTTAACAGGGTCAGGTCTTCATAAGATAAACATGAGATAAATAAGAGGAGAGGATAGTGGAGCAGCCTGGCCAACAACTTTGCACACAAAAACAGAGCCTTACCTGCCTGTATTGTCCAAAGTCATCCTCAGTGAAGATTCAGTGAGTCTGAATCAAACCTGTGCGGTGGTGTATGAAGCTGCAGAAGGCTAGGCTGCTGCTACCGCTTACTAAGACAGCTTTACACCATATTTGACACATTAAGAGATAAATGAGGAATATAAATGTGACACTGTCATACTTTTCATTACCTGCATCTTTTATCTGTTCGAGCTCACAGCTTACTGCACCGTCCAGACATCTAACACAAGTATCTTCAGTAGTGCAGGAATGTACTGTAGCTGGAAGCTTCTTTTTTTAATGTGTTTAATGTTCCACACTGATTTTCAGACTTCGGGACACATTTACTTAAAAAAATGAGATCTACTAACTGCTCACCATGTGGCCATAAGGCACAGGGACACAGCCTCACTTCCTGCTCCAGAATGCTAAAATAAGGGTCCGCCTACAGACCTGCGTCTGAAGAATAGACTTTATCTGCAAGCTTGGTTCCCAGACGACAAGCTGACTCACTCTACGGAAGTTGGAAATGGCCATGTTTATATAGTCTAAGGCACATAGCTGCTATACATATACAGCCTGGAGTAACTGTTCAGAATGTCCAGAACATACACAGATCACATACATATCATCACACGTAATACTGAATTTTAATGTGAAAATACGCCGATCAGGCATAACATTATGACCACCTCCTTGTTTCTACGCTCATTGTCCATTTTATCAGCTCCACTTACTATATAGGTGCACTTTGTAGTTCTACAGTTACAGACTGTAGTCCATCTGTTTCTCTGATACTTTGTTAGCCCCCTTTTACCCTGTTCTTCAGTGGTCAGGACCCCCATGGACCCTCACAGAGCAGGTGCTATTTGGGTGGTGGGTCATTCTCAGCACTGCAGTAACACTGACGTGGTGGTGGTGTGTTAGTGTATGTTGCGCTGGTCTGAGTGGATCAGACACAGCAGTGTTGCTGGAGTTTTTAAACACTGTGTCCACTCACTGTCCACTCTATTAGACACTCCTACCTTGTCGGTCCACCTTGTAGATGTAAAGTCAGAGACGACAGCTCATCTGCCGCAGTTTGTGTTGGTCATCCTCTAGTCCTTCATCAGTGGTCACAGGACGCTGTTGGCTGGATGTTTTTGGTTGGTGGACTATTCTCAGTCCAGCAGTGACCCTGAGGTGTTTAAAAACTCCAGCAGCACTGCTGTGTCTGATCCACTCAGACCAGCACAACACTAACACACCACCACCACATCAGTGTTACTGCAGTGCTGAGAATGACCCACCACCCAAATAGTACCTGCTCTGTGAGGGTCCATGGGGGTCCTGACCACTAAAGAACAGGGTAAAAGGGGGCTAACAAAGTATGCAGAGAAACAGATGGACTACAGTCTGTAACTGTAGAACTACAAAGTGCACCTATATAGTAAGTGGAGCTGATAAAATGGACAATGAGTGTAGAAACAAGGAGGTGGTCATAATGTTATGCCTGATCGGTGTATAGTTTATCAGCTGATGAGCGAATTTTTTTAGATGAAAAGAATATCTTCTATAATAATGAATGTAATATTACGCATACAGCATATCGTTGCTGTCCAAAGGAACACAAGTGTCTCCAAAAGGTATCTTAGAGGGCGAAAATGTTGTTTACTTTAAATTTTAGTCAGTATGAGGAGATTTTATTTGAAGTCACTTTGGAGCATTTCTATTGGTCCATTCATCATGTAATTTCCACTCGATGTAAACAGACTAAAACTTTGTTTTGGTAGTGTCATGAAAACGTTGCAGTATTTTTATTAGATTAAACTCACAATAAATCTAAATCTTAATAATCTAATTAATCGAAAATATCTTTACAAAAATGAAAAAAATTAAAAATGTAAGTATTTTCACAAGTGTAAATTTAAGGGTTATGGTTTGGGACAGACTCCTCCCAATAGGAAGTACCCTATAAATGATGATTTTGTATATATTTGGCTTATTACTATCTCTATCAATGCCTTGGGTTTAAATAGATCAGAACATAATCCTTGTAAATTTCTAAGCTCTGAATACTCTTTTAATAATAAACTGTTTGACTCATTAGAATTGTTCACACACTCGCACTGTAACTGAGTGGCCTCTGGAAGCTGCTGCTGGTACGTTACAAATCTCCTGCTCCAACAAACTCACCACTGTAGTCGTTTATGCAATAGGGGCCTGCACAATGTCTGCTCTTCTACAGAAACCACCTGTACAGAGTCTGTACTATTTGTCACAACAATGGTTATTGTTCACCGCTTCCCTCTTTTAAACTGCCTAAGAATTCACTGCCTGATGTCTGAGACGCTGTTTTGTGATATTTTATGATTTTGTGATAATGTTTTAGCCTAAAACATATTTTAGTCAATTTATTTTAATCCATTCATGGTGGAGGGATACATGCAGGGCATGATGAGGCAAAATAGTCCCCAAAGAAAACTTAATATTTCAGATTTTCCACTATTTACCATCATCAACATTCCATATAAACTCAGGAGACTCATGTTGGTTCACTGGTGGTTCTGGATAGTAAATAAAATGTCTATATTTGTACTGTAGTCACAGTGACCCCTGGTTCCACACTGTAACTGAGTGGTCCCTGGAAGCAGCTGCTGGTACGTTACGGATCTCCTGCTCCAGCAAACTCACCACTGTAGTCGTTTATGCAATAGAGGCCTGCACAATGTCTGCTCTTCTACAGAAACCACCTGTATGTACAGAGACTGTAATATTTGCCACAACAGTCATTGTGCACCGCTTCCCTCTTTTAAAGCGCATTTACAAAGCCATCTCTTCCAGTGAACCTTAAAGCAACTGTTTTCACATTTCACAGGGTCAGGTTCACATTCGCTTTTCATTTAGGTTGTATTTAAAAGCAGAACTTTGTATGAATGCGAACACAATGATCATTGCAAGGGGAAGGTGTGAACAATTTGGGGAAAATGTCTGCAGCTTTTCTGAACAAAGTTTTTTTAAATTAAGCTCCAGTTCTGTGTTCTGTGGTGCACATATTATCAAAATATCTACCAGACGTGTTCAGTACTGTGCAGAAGTCAGAGACCACCCTTCACTCGTTTAATTGACATTTAAAGCAGGCGTTAAAGGGGAACTTTTTTTTTTTTAACCCTTCTGCATAATTAAGTGGTTAAGATGTAAACAGAGTGGTTCAGAGTGGTTCAGAGTGGTTTGGTGTGAAACGCTCTGTTCTAGAGAATCTTATCAAGTCAGAACTGTTCACAGTGGTGGTGATAGGAACCAGATGTCTACAAGAAATGGTTATGATGTCTGACACATTGTTTCATGGCAGTTTTGTGATAGTGTTTTGGCCCAAAGCATATTTTAGTCAATTTAATTTGATCCGTTATTGGTGGAAGGATACATGCAGGGTGTTATGAGGCAAAATAGCCCCCAAAGAAGACTTATCATTTTAGATTTTATGCTATTTAACCATCATCATATGAAAGCTCAGAAGACTCGTGTAGGTTCACTGTATTTGTGTTATAGTCATGGTGGCCCCTGGTTCCTATCACCACCACTGTAAAGACATTTGAACCATTTCACTCCAAACCACTCTGAGTGACTCTGTTTACATCACAATTATTCAGAATTTTCCAAAATTGGTGGGATTCCCCTTTAAGTACAACTGGTTCATGTTTTTTCAGAGACAGGATAAAAGCAGAAAACCTGTATTTAACAGAAAATTACACTAAATCCAATATCAGATGTTCAGTGAGTCACTTTCTGTTCCTCAAAGAATCTGCAGACACACCTCCAAAGTTCAGTCTTAGAAGCTGGTTGATGATTTTCTGAAGTAATCAAACACATTCAGTGGTGTTGAGGTCTGGACTCTGGGGTGGTCAGTCCATCGTTCAGCTTCTTTGTTTGATGTGTCCGTCTCCTTTTCTCAGTGAGGTTCTTCTCGACAGCTACACATCCTTTCAGACCCATAGACTAGAAGTTAAATAGCGGCAGGGTGGTCTGACTTTTGTGCTGTATTGTGTGCGCCTGATGGCTCATCTGCATTCATTTCCGTTCATTGTTATTGGGTTGAGTGCCACTTTAATCTTTCATTGTTAGTAACAGACTGTGATTAAAATAGTTTTCATTTGAAGGCGATGAATCATTCCAGTGGGTAATTCCTGTCTCTCTCTTTTCTCTCTCAGATGGGCGTGTGCGTTTGGCAACTCTGGAGCTAAGCTGTCTTCTGCTCAAGCAGTCAGTGCTGTCCAGCACACAGTGCATCATCAAGGATGTCCACCTGGCCTGTCTGGAGGTATTCAGCAGCCTGTGACTCTCCCTTCACGTCCAGTACATGTATTAAAGAGCCCATATCATGGAAAAAACTAATTTTACTCAATTATTTTTGGAATAAGAGTTTGATGTAGCATATAAGCAGTATTTAAGAGTAAAACCATATCTTTCACTCCCTCTAGTCTTTACCGTCCTTGCGTGGAAACTAAGCAGCAGTTTTTTTAATTAATTCTTTTTGTGATGTCACAGAAATCAATGCATTAACGTACAGTACAGTCAGTCAAGTTCCATGTTGTTGTTAAGTGAAAATAAGTTAACACATCCTGTACAGAGAACGCACTTCTGCACATTTACTGTTTATTTGTTGAATTTAACATTTTGGGGGAAAATATAAAACATAAAATGTGGCCTGTGCAAAAGTTATGGCACATTTTATATTTTATGTATATTTTTTTTCCCCTAATATGTCAAAAGCCAGCATATAAATAGAAATCATGAACTAGGCTGTGCAGAAGTGTGTGCTCTGTACGTTCTTAGCAAAGTCGGTTCTGTATAGTAGCAACAAAGGGTTCTATAGCTTGTAACAGTAGTGGAACTCTTTTTGGTGCTATATAGAACCTTCTTCAAAAAGGGTTCTATGTAGAATGATCTACAACACACTCTCCATCACCCTGAAGATACATTTGTTGAGGCAAAAAGCCCTTTAATCATGCAAAGGGTCCTTAGAGTGTTCCTGGTACTATATAGAACCATTTTCTTTACTAAAGAACCTTTGTAGAGCCGTCTTTTTTAAGAGTGTGGAAGAGATGCCTTAACTTATTTTCACTTACAAAATCAAAATGTAATTTGATTGGGGCTGATCAGATTTCTGCATATGTCAGCATATCTGCCTGTTCAGCCTACAGCAGTTTAGCCCCGCCCACTCACACCGACGTTATAAGGAGTGTTTCAGCCCGGACTGCTTTTTAAATGAAGCACAGCCAATCAGAGCAAAGTTTGTATCAAGGCTGCTACATACCAGGCATGGTCTGAATAAATTACACGAAAGTGCAAAATAACTATTAAATTATTTATTTGTGCTGTTTGGTCCTGCTTTAAAGGGGTCTCTTATAACTTTGTAGTTACACCAAAACCGTGCATACAACACTGTAATTACCGGTGTTGCATCACCGTTACATATAAATTATAGTAGTACAGCTTATGTAAATACATGTGTTTCAACTTCAGTTTTTACTCATGTAATTACACAGGTTTAACAGCATATGTAGTTGTAACAACATATATTACCTTATGTAATTACACAAGTATAATAGGCTAAACTGCTGTTTTTCCAACATGTTTTTTCTGATAACAGAAGTGTAATTACCTACACTGTCAGAAGTAAAGTTCTGTGCAGGTATATTTCTCGTTTATCAAGGTACAAATGTTCCCTCAAAGCTCCAACAGTGGTTTTAAGGTCTGATTGTGAACCTTAAATAAGTTTTTCCAGGTGAAAAGTTCGTATTTGTACCTTTTCATAACCGAATGTTTTAAACAGAACAGTAAAATAAAAGCCTGGAGACGAGACGGGGTGTGTGGAGTCAGTACAGCTTAGAACATATCATTTCAGTGGATTATGGTTCAGTTATGTTCCCTGACTAAAGGTACTGAGATGGAGCCTTGAGGGTTCCACCCTGGTGACAAAGGGGCACTGCCCCAGTGACAGTTTAGAACCTTTATTTCTGAGAGTGTGAGCCGATACACCTTCATGAGCTGTACTACTGCAGTCCATCTTTAACAGTGAATACATCACCAGTAGTGATGTTGTTGCATGCATTATTAATGTGTAAGTTTCCTGTTACAATAAGAGACACTTTAATATAAAGTGAGACCAAAAAAGAAGACAGAACGACCATCAGAAAGAGTTCCTGTGTGCCTCATGAAACAGACAAACTGTTATGTTGTGCAAATTTGGAAAACCGAGAGGAGCACAGAGTTTCACCCCTCCTCATTCAGGAGCTGAAACTTTCAGTGCTAAACGGTTTTGGCTTGAAAGTTGTTCCTTTCGCTATTCCAAAACAGAAAGCAGTCTGCAGATATATATATATATATATATATATAAGAATTATTTAAAAATATCCATCATAATAAAAATATTAGTACAATAAAATATAATATATATCAATAAAATGTATAATGAAAGTGCATAAAAATGAATTAAAAGAACCCACAAGATAAACAATAAGAAAACTAAAATTTTAGAAAAAATTCCTAGATTTACTAAATTTACTAGAATAGTAAAAGAATTAACATTATTCACAGGTCCTTTTTAAAAGTTACTTGTGCTGTGAAAAAGCAGGACAGGCATAATATCAACTAAAAGGTCCTTCACTTCTCACGAAACGAGCACTGTGGAATCGTGCAGGATGCTTTCTGATTGGGAAAAGCGAAAGGAAAACAGAGTTTTCCACCCCATTAAGAATATAAACCTTATTGAACTAATTCACTCACAGTTCAGGCCTCTTCAACTCGCTTTGAGCTGATTTTGTTGATGCAGCTCCACACGTGAAGAAGCACAAAACAGACAGAAAATGTTTTCAAGAGCAAATAAGATGTTTACTCCTCAGAGAATGAGCGGTGACGCTGGGCTGCTTTCCATTTAGGAAAAGTGAAAGTAGATTGAAGAGCTTCATCACTTCATCACTTCATTCAGAATGTGAAACTCTTGCTGAGATTCTTGTTCTTTTGACGTTTGTGAAAAAGTTGAGGGTACGTTGAGGGTGACCCTCATTTACAGTGTAGCCGAGCAAATTACAAAGTATTGAACAATGAAATTTACCAACTAAAACAAATGAAAATCATCAAGACAAAAGATTTATATATAAAATAACAAAAGAACCAACTTAGTAAGCAGTAAGAAAACTAACATTTTAGAAAAATTTAATTATTTACTGTAATAGAAGAGTCAAAGAATTAACTTAAGAAACTGTAAGTGCTTCCATGTGTAACTCAGATATTCGTGGTCCAGTTTGAGCTGCTTTTGGAGATTCTTATTCTTTTTAGTTGCCGTTACACAGCCAATTCGTCCTATTGGTTGTCGCCATGAGATGACCGTGATTGGTCAGTGAGTTCATGTCGGTGGCCAGAGTTTGCAGAAATCAAACAGATAGCGAATAAAGTCACCGTCTGCAAAATTGCAAAAATATATGGTAACACTTTATTTGGATGGTCAACTGTAGATGGTTTGTGTAGTGCTGCTGGAGTTTTTAAACACTGTGTCCACTCACTGTCCACTCTATTAGACTCCTACCTTGTCAGTCCACCTTGTAGATGTAAAGTCAGAGACGATAGCTCATCTGCTGCTGCACAGTTTGTGTTGGTCATCCCCTCTAGCCCTTCATCAGTGGTCACAGGACGCTGTTGGCTGGATATTTTTGGTTGGTGGACTATTCTCAGTCCAGCAGTGACACTGAGGTGTTTAAAAACTCCAGCAGCACTGCTGTGTCTGATCCACTCGTACCAGCACAACACACACTAACACACCACCACCACGTCAGTGTCACTGCAGTGCTGAGAATGATCCACCACCCAAACAGTACCTGCTCTGTGAGGGTCCATGGGGGTCCTGACCACTGAAGAACAGGGTAAAAGGGGGCTAACAAAGTATCAGAGAAACAGATGGACTACAGTCTGTAACTGTAGAACTACAAAGTGCACCTATATAGTAAGTGGAGCTGATAAAATGGACAATGAGCGTAGAAACAAGGAGGTGGTCATAATGTTATACCTGATCGGTGTATATGATCAGTTACACATGGATTAATTGCATGAATAAAGGCCTTAAGGAATGAAGATGGTCAGAAAATGGTCGTAAAAAACTGATGCTTGTATATATAACGATACAAATGTTATAAGTTGGGATAAAAATGCAGGAGGATATGGGCTCTTTAACCCTCCATACAGAATTGCATCATCTTTACTGGACCAGGAAACAGCTTAGAGTTATTGTGCAACAGTGGACAAGTTTCTAAATAAATCAGGAGCCAGTGATATGGCTCCTTCCAGACTAAGTCTCAAACTGTACATGATTGTATACACAGTTAAATTGTTAGTAATTATTGTGTCATCAATTTACGGTAGATATTTCCCAATGTGAATTGCTATATGTTGGGATTGTACAGGGTTTTCCCTGACATTATCTTTTTTTTTCACATTGTTTAATGCTTAATGTTTTACTTTTACTTTTGCTGCTTTGACACAGGGCATGTTTACGGGAAGTCTCAGCTTTTCCTGTAAAATCCTTTAAGGAAAGATGTGTTTTCAAATAGATTTTTTCCCACTAAGTTCTGTGTGTTTTCTCTTGCAGGGCGCTAGAGAGGAGAGTCTTCATCTTCTGCGGCGATTTTACAAGGCAAGTTTCTTTCAGAACACAGTCCAGTCCAGGAAAAAAAGGGACAAAAAAACAGTTCAAAGGTGTGAGATGGGCTGTCATGAAGCAGGTTTCTCGTAACGTTGGTTGTTTTATCTTGCTGTGTGTCCTGCTGAGCGGCTAATCGAATGTTGTCCCAGGTCTCTTCACTGGTAATTCATTTCCTCTAATTACAGCCAGTTAAACATTGCCAGCTCATGCTGAGGACTTTATTCTTTTGATTTCTGTTCAGGGGAACTCCCAGCAGTGCACTGTCCAAACATGTCAGACAAGTAAATCCTGCGGCTCAGATTCTTTGAAACAATGAAACAATTGAAATGCAAGATAAATCCTCGATCCCCTTACAAAAAAAACCCATATACACATTGCTCATAGTTGCCTATGGCTGCCAGGCGGGTTCCCACAAGCTACTCAGATGTTTGATCATGTTGCATATTAGTGTGGCTGCTCTGCTCTTTTCCCACATTGTGGTTGCTTGTGGCTCGAGAGGGAACAGCGCATTTCTTTACCTCCACCTCCCCTTCTATTTTTCCACTCTGCCAGACATTCAGTCTTGCCTACATCTTCTGACAAATCCCAATACAGTTGCAAATAAAAGGCAAGTAAAAATGGAAAGCAGTGATTTGTAAATTCACTTAAACCGTAATTTAAATGAAAACAGTATAAAGCCAAGATGTTTAATATTTTACCCTTCAAACTTCATTATTTTCTGTAAATATGTGCTCATTCTGAAACTGAGCCCTGCAATACATTCCAAAAAAGTTGGAAGAGGAGCAATTTAGGACTAGAAATGTTGTGAAATGTTTCAGAAAAACATCTTAAGAAGGTGATGCAGTCATGCTTGGGTGTAAAAGGAGCATCGCAAAAAAGCATGAGCGAGGATGGAAAAAATGCAGTTTCTGAACAGCGTTCCTCAACAATCATTTGCAAGGATTTTAGGAGAAATCCCTGTGCGCCTGTGACTTTTGACCCCTCAGTTGGCACTGCGTTAAAAACCAACCTGCCTCCTTAATGCATATGACCATATGGGTTCAGGAAAATCCTTGTCGATAAACACAGTTCATCGCTACATCTACAAATGCAAGTAAAGACTCTACTACACAAACTGGAAGCCACATATCAACACCTACCAGAAACACCGCCGACTTCTCTGGGCTCAAGGTCGGATGAGTCTGATGAGTCAACCTTTCAGATTGTTTATGGAAATAATGAACTTTGTGTTCTCTGGGCCAGAGAAGAAAAGAACCTTCCAGATTGTTAAAGTTCAAAAGTCAGCATCTGTCATGGTATCAGGTTGTGTTATTAACATCCACGTCCGCGAAGGTTTCATTAGCACTCGGGTACATTTTGGAGGAACATATGCTGCCTTCTAGACGACGTCATCAAGGCAATGCCAAACCACATTCTGGACATGTTACAACATTGTGGATTTGTAGTAAGAGAGTGTGGCTGCTAGACTGGCCTTCCTGTAGAGCAGAACTGTCTCTCTTTGAAAATGTGTGGAGTGCAATGTATGACAATGGGGACTGCAGACAGTTGAGCAGCTGAAGTGTTATATTGAGCAAAAATGACACAAAAATCCATTTTCACAACTGCAACAACTGGTTTCCTCAGTTTTCAAACAATTACTTAATGTTGTTAAAAGGAAAGCTGATGTAATACAATGGTAAACACCACCTATTTTGGAACATGTTGCAGATATCTAATTTAGATAAGCATATATGTATACAAAAAAACTAGGTTCATTTGTTGCAACATTAAAATATCTTGTATTTTTTATGTTTTCAATTGAATAGAGGTCAAAAAGAATTTGCAAATCACTTCTTTCTCTTTTTATTTGCATTTTGTCCACTGTCCCATGATTTATTTTAGTGGTGGGTAGGGGTATGGTATTAAATAGTAATATTTTTTTAAAAAGCAGTCATTCAAATACACACAGTGTCTCAAAAGTAAGGAAACATTCATATATGCCCATATATTTTACAAGTCAGGAAATGTTCCATGCTGGTGACATGCTCTAACAGGTTTCCCCCTTCCCCCACAGCTTGTTTCTAAAATTGGATCACTGTCTGCAAACGGTTTTCTTTTTATGTGGGTGTTTCCTTACTTTTGAGACACCCTGTGCTACCAGTAACACGCTATCATTAAGAGGCTGTAGTAGCCTTTCTGCACTTCTCTTAGGTTATATGAATACCTTGATTCATCAAAAGCAGCTACAAAGCTCCTCTAGAGCTGTGGGTGGTCAGAATCCTGACTGTAGGCCTGGGCTTTATCTAAAAAATTATTAACACAGTATACACCGAACTCCAGCAGCACTGCAGTATCTGATCCACTCAGACCAGCACAACACACACTAACACACCACCACCACATCAGTGTTACTGCAGTGCTGAGAATGATCCACCACCCAAATAGTACCTGCTCTGTGAGGGTCCATGGGGGTCCTGACCACTGAAGAACAGGGTAAAAGGGGGCTAACAAAGTATCAGAGAAACAGATGGACTACAGTCTGTAACTGTAGAACTACAAAGTGCACCTATATAGTAAGTGGAGCTGATAAAATGGACAATGAGCGTAGAAACAAGGAGGTGGTCATAATGTTATACCCGATCGGTGTATTGTGGTTAAATGTATCAGGATTATCACTGACTCTTCTGAACCATCAGGACACATAAGCTGTCCACAACATACTGACCGCCAGCAGAGACAGTGGGAGATTTACTTTGCTGTAACCTAACAGCTTATTATGCCCCATTGTTTTAACAGTAAAGTCAGCTTTACGCTGTGCGATTACATTTCTTACACATTAACAGCACGACACACTGCAAATAAAGTCTTGGCCAGACTCCATGTTGAACCGTGCGACAGTTGAACCGTTGCTGCAGGTCAGATTATACGCTAAAGATTTTCTGTCAATAGATTTATGATACAAAAACATGCCGACATTCGTTGTATCAGCATATTAGCCTGGCCTTTAGTTCACATACAGAGTGACCTGCAGTGAAATAGCAGAAAGAGCTACAGCACAGTGGACTACTTTCCTGAGGGCTTTTTTTTGCATGCATTTTCTTTTTTTGACGACACGTGGGGCCATGCATACAAAAAAAGCCCTCAGGAAAATGGTGATGATGCATTGTCTGGAAAAATTGTAGTAAATGCTTAAGGAGAGGTTGGAGCTGTTCTTGGCTGAGGGAGGAAAAGGTCTCCATGAAATGCTCATTCTCTAAAGTGAGCTTGAGGTCAGTAAGCTAGTTTTCTGTCCACTGTGCTGTAGCTCGCTCTGCTATTTCACTGCAGGTCACTCTGTGCATGAACTAAGGGCCAGGCTAATGTGCTGATACTCTTCAGTTTTGAATAATAAACCATTTTGTCTTCATTAATCATCCTTTCCTCTCGCACACTGTGACATTTTGGACCAAAGTTTGTGATACTGTCATAACTTTTTTGGAGCCTGTCTTTACTGTCAGAGGCTTAAAATCAGTCACAGTGGAGTAGCGTCACATAAACGTTCAAAGACTGCCGATTATAACCCATGATCAAAGAATTCTATCACAGTTTGTCATTTTTACATGCATAAACTTGACGATTATTACACAGCATGTGGAAAATTAAGGGGAGTGTTTCTGCAATTTATTTTGCAGTTTATCTGTTGCTCATGAGTGAAACTTCAGGGGGATTACATTTTTCTTGTAGAAGAATGGGCCAAAAAAATAGATAAAGCTGCTTTGTGCACCGTTTACATACATATTTCTGTCTTATTATTGAAGGACAACTCGATCTGTTTTTCAAAGTTTCTGCATAGTAAATCTTTAAGACGTAAACAAAGTCATTCAGAGTGGTTAAAATCCATTCATGGTGGAGGGATACATGCAGGGCGCTGTGAGGCAAAATAGACCCAAAGAAAACTTATTTTGTTCAGATTTTCCACATTTTATTATTGGCATTGCATATAAAACTGGAACTTTTTCACATGGAGCCACGCTAAATGACTTTGTTTACATCTCTGCGATCGAGCTGGGCAGAAATTTTGAAAGATTATTGGTATTCTTCTTTAAGTCACTTGTTGTTTTTTTTTTATTTCCAAACGCCATCACCAGCCCACTAAAGACCTCCCAGTACAGGCCCAAGGACCACCAGAGGGTGCTTTGTGCACTGCGGCTCAGCGGTTGAGAAACCCTGCTGTGATTCTCTATCGGTTCTCTTTCCCTAGTTTTTCAGTTCTCTGCTCTAGTTCTCTATGAGGCATTGTTATTGGCTCAGTTGTCAGTCACTGCTTTTATCTGATTACATCACCCTGTAACTCAGCCCTACCTTATAGCGCACAGTGAAAAAATAGACTGTGGTTGGTTACAGGGCTCGTTTGCATATTGCTGCCTTCTTCAGTGTCAGTATCACAATAAAACATATATTATGAGGCTCTGACACAGTTCAGCGCTTCATCCAACACCCCTCATCATCTCAGCTCTCGTTTACTATCTTCTATAAAAAATCACAGTGGATGAAGCCTGTCAGAGTGGGGGAGGCGGGGCTTAGGCTGTGCACAAAGCTGCACTCATATAAATGGGCTTTTTATTCTGAAGTTGTTTATATAATATATATATATATATATTTTGGGCGGGGGTTATTTTGTTTATTTGTAAGTTTTGTATTAATTAAAGAGCCCATATCCTACATTTTTCTGGTAATTTTTTAATGTTTTGTCCCTGAGATCCACTCATAACGCTTAAAACATAGTTTTTTACTTGCCAAAAAGTCATGATTCTACAGAGCCCTGCTGATGACATCCCATATAAATAAAAATAATGCATGGCCACGCGTTATTAACACGTGGGAATAAGATCCTACTGCATGGCCACACCTTAATAACACGTGGAAATAAGATCCTAATGCATGGGCATGGGAATGAGATAATTAAGTCGTGGCAACGAGTCAGTAAGACGTGGGAACGAGATCATGCCCTAGTAAGCCACGCATTAGGATCTCGTTCCCATGCCTTACCAAGTCATGGCCACGACTTAATTATCTTGTTCCCTTGCCTTACTAAGTTGAAGCCGTTATACAGGATGTCACTGTATAATTTATTTTGTATGACCATTTTCCAGTGTAATCAGTCAGTACAGAACTAAGAGAATTAAACAGTCTGATTTTGTTACTGTGCCTTTAAGACTGATGTATGTAAATGTGCTCTGTTCTGATTGATTAGAAAACAGTCACATAGTAATGAATTATGACTTTTGTTGCACTAAAACTGCACAAACGCTATGCGTGGACTTCAGAGGAAAAATTCAAGAAAAATGTATGATACTGACCCTTTAATGGAATTTTAAGAGAATTAAAAAAAATTCTGTTACTCCTTTAAGACTGACGTATGTAAATGAGCTCTTTTCTGATTGGCTATGCCTCATCTAAGAAAACACAAAACACGAAAATAAACTCTTTTTGTTCAAAAAAGCAAGGGAAATTTAGTTTTCCATAATATCGACCCTTTAACTTTTGTTTTTCTGAGCATTCTGCATATTTATAGAGCTTTATAGAATCAAGACGCATAAAAGAACCAAAATCGAAGGGGATCTTGGCCTCAGACTTCGTACGAAGCCTGTAAATGTGTGTATCATCACACTTACAGCTACTGTTTAGTTCTTTAGAAAGGGATCTGTGGCTGCTACAGTGAATACTTTACACTCCTCCTCTCTCGCTGCCTCTGGCCTTCCGTGCAACAAGTTAATGAGTTAATGAGTTTTACTGCTTCTCTGCTGTTTCTGATGCTGTGCTTTTTATTTTTGGCCTCAGGCTGAGGCCTGTTGAAATTATTTTCTTTGGAAGTCTAGAAGTACATAGTGTGCAGGACATCAGGGCAAAAGTTTAGTACCAAATGTTCCCTGATTTTTTGGCACTACAAAATGGTAAACAATTCAAATTTCAGTACTTGCAGTTGTTTATATAAATAGGCACTACACTACATTGATTAAATTATGCTTCATTTGACTCAGATGGACAGATTATTTAATATTTGTGTTGATAAAAAGACAGTTCTGTTCAATAAATGTCAATAAAGGTGTTTAGATGAAGTGTTTCTGCCAGTATTGTAGGAGTATTGAGCATTGTGATACCACACTGAGTATCAGTCTCAGTCCTCAAAATCCCAGGAAGGTGACAATACTGCTTTATTCAGCTTTTACCAAAGAGGACTGCGGCACTGTCTTGTATTTTGTAATCACTTTTGTATTAGTAATTGTTATTTTATTCAGTAGTAACTTATAATATAAGAGAGACACCAGAAGGTATATTAAAGTATTTTACTTAATATTTCAAGTTTTTTGGAGCAAGAACTTCATTAAATGACAAATAATATACTGTAAGTTCACACTGCCGTACGTTTTCTGCCTCAGCATTCAAAATATGAGGCATTCTGGATGTTAATTTTATGATAACTTCATTCTCCATCTAACTTTGGTTCCTTTTTTGTAGCTTCAAATTAGTTGTAACCTGTAAAACTGTAGAGTACTAACATCATATTGTGATCATTTTATATATGTACCAAAAATGGTTTCATACTAATGAAAAATAGTGATTACAGACGTTAGAACAGTAGTATAAAACTGTAATACTGCACGGTTTGGTTTATCTCTAAAATGGTAACTTTACAGGAGAAGGAGAAAACACATGCGAGTCAATGGAACCAGATGTCTTTCCAAGTCATTTTGGGTCGTTTCTTTTGGTCCATTCATCATGAAATTTACATACAATGTAAAGGGGAACAGGTATTTTCAAATTATGTTAAAAATGGAGATGCAAGGTATATGTGTGTGTGTGTGTGTGTATATATATATATATATGTATGTATAATGTAATAATGTGTGTGTATATATATATATATATATATATATATATGTATGTATATATATATATATATATATATATATATATATATATATATATATATATAATGTAAAACCAAATATTCTGTATAGGGTTTAAATCTGGACTCTGACCAGCTAAACCGTCATTCATATATATATATATATATATATATATATATATATATATATAAACACCATTTGTTAATAGAAAACACTTTTTATTTCTCTACTAAATATGGTGTCAATCATAATGTTTTCCAAGGTATTTACAATTACCTCATTTTTGTTTGTTAACCCAGTTTTGGACAGTCATTCTGACATCAGATGTCCTGTAGTCTGTGCTTATACAACCAGTGACAGATTTACTTATTTTTTTCTTTTCTTTACTTTTTTTTTGGAAGTCCTTCAGTTGCACTTTCAGGAACTTTCACTTTCAGAAGCTTCTAACCCCTGTCGTACTTTCAAAACAGCACAAACCGGGATTGGCTGAGTTCCAAAGCAATAAAGCCTGAAAAGCCTGGGGTCTTCCAGGTTCATCAGGTCAAAGGCCTAAGAGAGACTTTTAAAAGCTGTTAACCACTGGTGTTTTGGAGCAGCATGTCAAAATCTACTGTGGAGGAGTCTGGAGTGCACAAAGTCTTTGTTCAAACTACAGCGCAGATCAGATTTGACTTGCTGTGTAAACCTTGTTCCAGTTTCCAGACGTACCGTTTACGCTCCGGTTCACAGAGTCCATATATGAAACCTTAGCTCCAAGCTAAAATAACCTGTTTTGAATTCCTTGTTTCTGTGATGTCACAAAAATAAATTCATTTGCATATATCTCTGCCTGTTCAGCTTACAGCAGTTTAGCCCCGCCCACTCAAGCTAAAGTTACAAGGAGTGTTTCAATCTGGACTGCTTTTTAAATGAGGCATAGCCAATCACAACAGAGCTCATTTACATATATCAGTCTTAAATACACAGGAACAAGTGTGTTTAATTCTCAGGGATAAAGAGAGGTTGGAAAATAATCATGTAGAAATGAATTATGACTGTGCATAAATAAACACAGTGGTTAGAAATGGACCTCAGGGAGAGAAATAAAATGCAAAAATTATAAATTTTAATTGATTTAATTATGATGCCATAATTATTGTGATATTATTATTATTATTATATAACTATATGATGTTAATTCTTTTACTGTCCAGTTCTAGTAAATAATTCAGTTTTTCTAAAATTTTAGTTTTCTTATTGCTTACTATCCAAGTTGGGCCTTTTCATGTGTTTTCATTATATATTTTATTGATAATTTATGCCTGTTTTCTATTTGAGCTGTTATTATTTATTTTTATTTGTTATTATTTTTAAATATATATAAATCTTTTTGTCTTGAGTACTTTCATTTGTTTTAGTTGGTAATTTTTTTTAATCCCGTGTAATTTCCTCGGCTACATTGTAAATAAGCGTCACCCTCAGTGTATTCCCGGTCTAAATAAAGGTTGATTGATTGATTGATTGAAAAAAGTAGGGTATGGGCCTCTGAAATCTGATTTTTGTTCATATTTCAGATTCCCAGTAACTAATTCTGATGTGTCACCAGACTTTTTGAGCTACAAGTTAAAGCTCAAATTCTTAAAATGTGTTTCTAAGATAGATATAATCATTAAAGTCGATGCCTATGTACAAATTTATTTCCAAAAAAATGTAATTTGGCTGCCGGTAAAGCATTCCAAGGTGCCTCCTTGTGTCGAGATGGCGAAGGGGGGGCTGATTTCTAAAAATCTGAAGCTTTTTAGAAGTGAATGATTGCAGCCTGCTATATTTTTTTGCTTTAATGGTTCTGAAATATGGGCAGTAGTAAAAATAAGGAAAACCAGAGTACTGTATATGGGATGGTCACATAAATCAGGTTCTTACATGGAGTAAATATTTATACTGGTACTGTTATGCTATTTAGCTTCAAAAGAAGCATAAGAAAGCCTGCACTTCTCTCTGTTTGGGTTTGGTGGCTCCCTTTTTGACGTAATTGTTCTCTGGAAATCTGTTGCTCTTATAGGGGGAGGAGATCTTCCTGGACATGTTTGAAGACGAGTACAGGAGCATGACTGTAAGTCTGCTTTGCTCTCAAATTTTGCCATCACAAGTTGATGATTAAGCAAACCCCTCGTGACTGTGTATTTCTGCTGTAAACAAAGCTTAAGGCGACCTCCCTTTGCAATACCTGTTTACTAAACACATAGACAAAATAAAAGTCTCCTCATTGGTGTAATAGGGATGCCTCACTGTAATTTTTTGTGTGTTTAGAGCAAGCCTCTGAACGTGGAGTATCTCATGATGGACGCATCCATTCTTCTGCCCCCTACTGGAACGCCGCTCACCGGAATCGACTTTGTTAAGAGGCTGCCCTGCGGGGACGTGGAGAAGACGCGCAGGGTGAGCAATACAAACACATACAAGGTGTAAATAACAACAAAAAGGTGTGTGTTCATAAGCATAAGGAATGGTATATTTAGCTATGAAATCAATAGGGAAGAAAGTATTTACACACCACAAATTTACACAGATCAGGTATAACATTCTGACCACCTCCTTGTTTCTACGCTCATTGTCCATTTTATCAGCTCCACTTACTATATAGGTGCACTTTGTAGTTCTACAGTTACAGACTATAGTCCATCTGTTTCTCTGATACTTTGTTAGCCCCCTTTTACCCTGTTCTTCAGTGGTCAGGACCTCCATGGACCCTCACAGAGCAGGTACTATTTGGGTGGTGGATCATTCTCAGCACTGCAGTAACACTGACGTGGTGGTGGTGTGTTAGTGTGTGTTGTGCTGGTACGAGTGGATCAGACACAGCAGTGCTGCTGGAGTTTTTAAACACTGTGTCCACTCACTGTCCACTCTATTAGACACTCCTACCTTGTCGGTCCACCTTGTAGATGTAAAGTCGGAGACGATAGCTCATCTGCTGCTGCACAGTTTGTGTTGGTCATCCTCTAGTCCTTCATCAGCGGTCACAGGACGCTGTTGGCTGGATATTTTTGGTTGGTGGACTAATCTCAGTCCAGCAGTGACACTGAGGTGTTTAAAACCTCCAGCAGCACTGCTGTGTCTTATCCGCTCGTACCAGCGCAACACACACTAACACACCACCACCACGTCAGTGTTACTGCAGTGCTGAGAATGATCCACCACCCAAGTAGTACCTGCTCTGTGAGGGTCCATGGGGGTCCTGACCACTGAAGAACAGGGTAAAAGGGGGCTAACAAAGTATCAGAGAAACAGATGGACTATAGTCTGTAACTGTAGAACTACAAAGTGCACCTATATAGTAAGTGGAGCTGAAAAAATGGACAATGAGCGCAGAAACAAGGATGTTATGCCTGATCAGTGTACAACATTAGTACTTTGTTGCAGTGGTGTTGTTGGCAGTTACAGCTTCAAGAAGTTTATAGTTAAGAAATAGAACACTTGAGGTTGTGTGTTATTCACGATAACACAAACCTCAAGTGTTCAATTGCTTTTATACAACAGTTTTTACAAAATAAATAAACAAAAAAAATCAAAGCAGCCCTGAATTTCATACTTAATATGCTTTAACCCTTTACAAAAAAATCCAGTAACATGTCCTGCAGGATTTTAATAATCACACAGGCTCATAAATATTCCTGCAGAAGTCCTTCAAGACCCAAACCTGCATAATCTAGTTATTCCTGTAGGAGATACCTTCAGGACTTCTTTGATGCGTAATTCCTCCAGGACCTAGTGTACACCTGCAGGATTTCGCTGTGTTTACGTGATAGTATTTCTACATCAAGCATTAAACTGGCAGGAATACTGATAATACCTTCTACCAAAATGGAGTCCAACAACTGTAACGGGTCCTCAGCCTGTCCAAGATAACGGTTGATACTATAACACTCAGCTTCTGTGGTGTGGATAGAAATATCAGGTTCATCTCAGCCTTTTCATATTGTTGTCAAATGAACATGAATGTCATTTTGGAACAGCCAGTCTGTAAAGCACTTTGTAGCCTGTCTTGTTTGCTGAATTGTATTCTGTTAATTTCTAGCCAGTTCCAGCGTGTTCAGCTGTTCTGCCGTCACTGCAGTCAACCTAACAGTTTCCTTAGAAATGACAGATTCAGAATCTGATGTGCGTCTGCAGTCACGCTCTTATTCAGAGTCGGACTGCATGTCATATGTTATCTTGAAGTCATCCATTTTATCAGTGTCTCGTTTTGTATAAGCACAAATTAAAAAAAAAACAACTAAGCTTTGTGTGCAGAAAGCTTGTTGTTACTCTGCAACGCGTCACTTGTTACTTGGCAACGCGTCAGCAGAGTGATTCAGTTTTGGTGTGAAAAAGCTGTGCTGTTATCACAAATATCAGCACGGTTAGAACCTCCTCAGCCAAACAGATTGTAAGGTCGGGACTCACTGTTGTATAATAATAAATATTCAGCATTGAAGTTCAGTTTTGGCCCATTGCTCTTAGTAAACCATCTTCAGTTCTCAGATGCTGCAAGGTTCCTCTGCTGGACTCAAAATCCTCAGTATATTTTCACTGACATAAAAATCAGGAGCTTGGCTGGACCAGGCAGGCATCTTCACCTTCTTTAGAAACCAGTCTTAGGCTGGAAAAATCTTAACAGATCTCTAAAACAGAGAGCATCACAAACTTAATGTCAGTTTGTCACAGAATGTCTTGTCCTTTTGTCGTGAGGAGCTCAGACTAGACCCCAAGGCAAAGAGAGAATAACACACATAATGAGTATGAGTAAGAACTCAAACTCTAATCTGCCTGTGTTTTAATGCAGCTCCTCTATCTCCACACTCGCATCAGAGTTCTGTTTTTGTTTTGTTTTACCAGAAAATATAGTTCCAAAGAGTTCTGACTTGTCTAATACGCAGTTTTCACAAAACACTTTTTGCAGCATTACATCTAGAACCTTACATACCTTACTGTAGACCTCTTAGGCAGCTAAGCGCATTAGTTAAACCATTTATCTTGGCACCAAGTCCTTTTTGCTTGTAAAGGCACTATAAGTCATTACACTAAATGCAAATAAGCATAATTATGCTGAAAATAACAAGAGTTTCTTGTTTTTAAAAAGTAGTTGATATCTTGTGGGCTGGTATGAAGGTCAATGTTTGGTTCCAGATTTCTCCTGGACGCCTCTGGCCATTGCACAGATTTGTTAAGATTTGTTTCCATCATGCGTGATTCAACACAATGAAGTACTGGTTAGAAAACCAGATGCTGGATAATAACTACAGATATTATGCATTTGTAAAGGGTTAAGCAAAGACATTAATGTGCACAATTACTCTCTTTGTAGATTGAATCTAATATTAGTGTTTACAGCCCAGATAAGAAGCTTTTTTAAATCTAATTTTCTGCCTACAACTTTTGCACAATGCTGTATGTATGTTGTGTATGTTTGTGTCTCTTTATGCCAACGTATATATATATTTGTTTATATTTGTAAGTGCAAAGCCAAAAGACATTATGTGTGTACATTCGAGGTGGATACATGCACTGCAAGTATGTTAAATAACAGAAGCAAAAGCTTCATCACGGCTGAATTCTGCCAGCGCTGATACTCATCAGGAAAACCTGACCGTCAATCGATGCGGGCTCGGTTCGTTGGGGTGTCACACCTTGTTTAACAAGATCCTCCTCATCTCATTCACCTGTTTATGCTGCGACTGCACCGATCGGCAGCTGATTTCAGCACTGAATTCTACTTCCTCGTGTTTCTGTGACTGTTCGGTTCACTAGAAGTGAATGGGTGACCTGGTGGAAATGACACAGCATGACTGAAACAACCAGCCCTTTCCAAATAATCTGCGCTGATTCTTTTTTGGTGCTGTTAGCCTTGTCTGGCTTTTCCTTTCTTCCTCTTTTGACCATGAGTCAGGTTTTTTAAGCTGGAGATAGCCAAATAAGTCTTGAAAAGCTTGAAATAACATCCCGTTGGAAGTTCATTCTAATCAGTCAGATACTGTGCAGAAGTTGAATGTGAAAAAGTGGCTTCCTGCGTCAGTTTCGGCGCATGATGTCCTGCCGCCTGGGGTACAGTGCAAAAAATAGTATCTTGTCAAGTGAAATTATCTTAATTCTAGTCGATATATCTAATATTTCTTATTTTGAGATGGTTATGCACTTATTATAAGATTATCTAGCTTACTTATAGACATTTCTTTATCGGTTTTATGTAATTTTATTAAGTAAAATTGTCTCACTACACTGGCAGATAATTTTGCTGGTTTCAAGGACATTTCTTACAACACACAAAATTATCTGCCAACATAGTGACATAATTGTACTTGATAAAATTACTTAAAACAGGTAAAAGAAGTCTATAAATGAGCTTGATAATCTTGTGATAAGTGCACAACCATCTCAAAATAAGAAATATTAGATAGATCAACAACAACCTCATTTCCAAAAAAGTTGGGACGCTGTGCAAAATGTAAATAAAAACAAAATGCAACATTGTGGAAATAAATTAAACTCTACATTTAATTGGAAATAGTACAAAAACAGCATGTCAACTGTTAAACTGAGAAATTGTACTGTTTTTTGAAAAACATTTGCCCATTTTGTTCCAAAAAAGTTGGGACGGGGCAACAAAAGGCTGGTAAAGTTGTGTAATGCTAAAAAAACACCTGGTGGTTAATTGACAACAGGTCAGTAACATGATTAGGTATAAAGAGCATCTCGGAGAGGTCTTTCAGCAGTAAAGATGAGGAGGGGTTCACCACTCAGTGAAAGACTGCACGATCAAATAGTGCAACAATTCAAGAATAACATTTCTCAACATAAAACAGCAAAGAACTTCTGCTTTTCATCATCTACGGTACAGAATATCATTAAAAGATTCAGAGAATCTGGAGAAATCTCTGTATGTAAGGGACGAGGCCAAAAACCAGTATTTGCTGGTGATCTTTGGGCCCTCAGGCAGCACTGCATTAAAAACTGACCTGATTCTGTAGTGGAAATCACTGCATGGGCTCAGAAACACTTCCGAAAAACACTGTCTGTGAACACAGTTAGTCACTGCATCCACAAATGCAAGTTAAAACTCTAAAATGCAGAGAAGAAACCAAATATAAACTGGATCCAGAAACGCTAGTAATACAAGTACACAGTGAAACGAAACGACATTCCTCCAGGACGAAGACAGGAACACAAGTGCAGACAATACAATAAACACAGTGCAGACAATACAGGACAATAAATAAATACCAAAGACTTACAATAAACACAAAGCAGGACACAGGCAGCACACGGTACTGAGAGTAAGTGGAGCTGTGCAAAGGAGGATGGAACACACTATGACATATTAGCAGCTTAGCAGAGAGCCTGGCATATATGAGCATAGCAGTCACTGAGGCAGCAACCAGAGCAGCAACATACAGTATACA